GTGTTCAGTGAATATTTAATGTTCAAATCCTTGGACTGGAAAAAATAATTGCAACATTTAAAGGATAACGAACCCTAGAGACAGTTCTAAAAGTACTTCACACTATTGGGATTCAGGATTGAACCCTGAGAGTGCCAGTTTACATCCCCGGCCCTTTTTATGTTGAGACGGTGTTGTCACCAGGCTAACCTGAAACTGGGATTTTCCTTCCTCATCCTCATAAATAGCTGGGAACTTGATCTTAACCATTCATATGCACTTAAAGGAAGTGGAGTCCTCTATAAACCTTAGGAAACAGATGCAAGTTTTAATCACATCTGTTGGCTATAATTAATGGGACATTACATGAAAATAACAGCTAAATAATATGCCAGTACCTTTGACATTTTTTTCCCCTCATCATTCCTCTTTTACCTATTTTGCTAGCCCTAGTTAAAAGAGCTTATGGAATTATTTTTTCTTAGTCTTACTTTTCCCATCCTGATAATGTCAAGAGTTAAACCAGCCGTGCCAGGTGTGGTGGTGCACGCCTGTAATCCCAGCACTCGGGAGGCTGAGGCAGGAGGGTTGTTGTGAGTTTGAGACCAGCCTGGGCTACAAAAAGAGCTCAAGGCCAGCTTGAACTGCATAGCAAGACCTTGTCTCAAAAAGACCAAAAAAAGAGAAACCAGCCGTGTTCAGTAACTACATTTTAGGCAACAGAAAAAATTTCTTTTTGAGACAGGGTTTCCTATATACTTTAGGCTGGCCTTAAACTTACTGTGTAGCCCAGGTTGGCCTCAAACTCAGTGATTCTCCTGCCTCGGTGTTTCAAGTGCTGGGGAATACAGGTGTGCACTATTATGCCCAGCAGAATTTTAATTCAAAAGTTTATGTACTTAAGACTTTCCATCTGCAACGTTAAAAGTCATATAATCACTACCTCTCTTTGGGCTAAGCAAAAACTTAATCTATGGAAGTAGAGGAATTCTGTTCTTACTTGGAAAAATATTAATCTATTCCTCCAGAGGTTCTGTCATTTTCTCTTTTCTTCTTTTTTTTTTTTTTTTTTTGTTTTTTTTTTTGTTTTTTTTTTCCGGTACTAGGAATCTAACTCGACCTCATGCTTGCCGGGCCGGCGCTGTGCCGCTGAGCTAAATCCCAAGCCCCTGGTTCTGTCATTTTCCCTGTTGGAAAAATGTTCTATTTGTGATGATTTAAATTTGTCTTTAAGTAGTACTGAACTTTCCATTACTGTAACAAAATACTTGGGAAAATCAGCTTAGAAGAAGGTTAAGTTCATTTTGGCTCACAGCTTTGAGGCTTTGGTGCATGGTGAGTTGGCCTGTTGTGCTTGGGCCCATGGCTGGTGATACTTAATGGTTGGTGCATATACCACAGGAAGCTGCTCACCTATTGGCAGCTGGAAGCAGAAAAGGAAGGGTGGGGTCCCAGTATCCCCAAAGGGTACCCTGCTGACCTGACCTCTGCTGGGCAACACATGGGTGTGTGCCTGGGGGGGGGACACGCAACTAAACCATAGCTCTTTATAAATCATAATAGTGATTGATAATAGCAAAATGTTCATTGAGTTTCTTCCACATCAGGTGCTGTACATAACGTCACATGTAATCCTACCAACATGGTGACATGAATATAGTTTATTGTCCCTATTTTACAGAAGGGAGAACTGAGGCAGGGTTCTCCAGAATTAGAACCCAAGCATTCTGAATACAGAGCCATTTTGATTACCTCCCTTCAGGGATTTTCAAACTTCTGAATTTCCCGCTTGTCCTACAACCTAGTGAACTTCATTTTCTTCACTGAAGAAACAGCTTGATGCAGAAATTACCAAGTCAAGTTTGCTGCTAACTCAGTGGCTTTTGTTGTAAATTTAATAATTGGCAAAATTAGACATCGTAGTACTGGGAATTGTTACCTAGGCAACTCGAAGAAGTTTTTTAGGATCCACTGGTTTTTTATTCCACTGGCATCTCCACCAAAATGTTACCAGGTTCTGGGCTATTCACTTCTGGAGTTAGATTCCAGGTTCTTCTCACCGCGAATGAAGAAAATGGGCAAAAAGCAGTGGCAAAGTTTATTTGAAAAGTAAAAGGGAAGAGAGAACTGGCTCTGCAGAGTGAGCTTGGGCCAAGTGGAAGAGGGAAATCATGAACACCTTGGAGAAAGGGTGAGCTGTCATGAGAAAAGCTACGATAGCAAGTTCTTTGTGTCTGTGTCTTTTATATAGTCCAAGTCTTGAAACTGGCAAGAATGTCTACATACGGGTTCTCTCCTGAGGGATCAGGTCTAGGCCATCCTATTGAAAACTTGCATAACAAAAAACTTAGTAGGACTAGAGGTTTCATTTGACCCAGCTATTCCCCTTCTTAGTGTCTTCCCAAAAGAATTGCAAGCATCGTATTACAGTGATATATGCACACCCATGTTTAAAGCAGCAGTTTGTAATAGCAAAATCTTGGATACAGCCTAAATGCCCAACAGCTGGTGAATGGGTACAGAGGATGTGGTTCTTTTATGCAATGGAGTGCTTGCTACTCTGCCATGAAAGATAGGGTCGAGACTTACTTATCTAGGTAAATAGATGCACCTTGAGACCATACTCTTTCTTTTTTTTGGTTACCAGGAATCGAACTCAGGACCTTGTGCTTGCCAGGCAGGTGCTTATGCCACTGAGCTACATCCCCGGCCCGAGACCATACTCTTAATTGAAATAAATTGGACACATGGGTAAATACCACATTGTTTCTGTGGTATGAGAAATAGTGTAAATAAGAGACCAAAATGTATAATAGGTATTGTAAAATAGGAAGAAAATATTCAAGTGGGGAGGGGAATGGGAGGAGGGGGAAAGGAGAAGGAAAACAAAACGCAAAAAGGAAAAAGTGGAAACAGTTTTTGTAAATGCAGAGGGGAAGAGAGATTGAAGGGGGAAGGTAGGGGAATGGAAAAAAGTTAAAACAGGTACAGATTCTCCATGATAAATGTGATCATTATGTTTATCTAAAATGTACCAATAAAATCTGATTAGAAGAGGAAAAAAAAAAACCTCAAGTTCTCAGGAGAAGTCCACATGCAGGGCTTTGGGAACTGTTCTCCGCATATGTTCCAGGGTCTTGTAATGAACAGATTATGCCTCCTTCCCCATTCAGCTTTGCCATGCCCTGATCTCCTATGTCAGTATGGGTACTTGGTCATCGAATACTAGCTATGGAATACTTCCTACTTATTCCAGGTGTGTGAGTCATCTTTCCTGTTCCTGGGACAAAATACCTGACACCCACAATTTTTTTTTTTTTTTTTCCGGTACTGGGAATCTAACTCACGACCTCACACTTGCCAGGCCGGCGCTGTGCCCCTGAGCTAAATCCCCAGCCCCCTTGCATTGTTTTTCTTTCTTTTCTTTTTTTTTTTTTTTTTGGTTTCTGACACCCACAATGTAAAGGAAGAGCGGCTTAATTTGGTTCCTGATTTCAGAGATTTCAGTCCATGGTCAGCTGGTTCCAGGGCAGCAGCAACATGAAGGAAGAAAGCGAAAACAGCTGCGCCCTCTATGGCAGCGAGAAACTAGAGCAGGAAGAAGCCAGGGACCCAGCTCTGGACACATGGAGCTATGAACTCATTGATGGATTAATCCACTGGTGAGCATAGCACCCTCCCGATCCAGTCTCCCTACAAAAGCCCCAACTCTGAACACTTGAGACTGAGCCGGGTGGGAGGGCATTTTCAATCTAAACCTAACAGCAGGAGAATTCATCATCCTGTGAAATCTTCCAGTTCAGTATAGTCCTCCCAGCTCAAGGTGGAGGCCTCCCAAGTGGTAGGATCAAAGGCGTGTGCCACCATGACTGGGTTATCACAACTAATGTGTTGAGGCGTGAATAGCTTCCTTATGCATTGTAAAGCATGAATTTGTATTCCCTGAAGCCCAAAGAGACGTTCCAGAAGGGGAGTTTCCCGTACAACTGGATTTTGTGCACATGTTGCCTGCTTTTAGTAATCATGAGCTGGAATTTTAGAAATCCTGGCTCTTAA